TGGATTCTTTTGGCTTTTTTGGACTTTTGCAAGGCTATTTGGACTACGCTACTCTCTCCTGCCCTGACTTGGCGTGTTTCTGGACTTTGCGACTGTTTTTCCCCTGTGTTTCGGTGATATCGGGTTTTTCCCGCCTAAACCAACGGTTCCCGTTTGCAGCCGTTTTGGCTCCCCTGCGGCTTATGTCCCCCTCCGGTCCGTTCAGCAGGTGCATAAGTTGTGATCGAAAGCTCCCGTTTCAGGACCACCACGATAAGTGCCTTTTTTGTCTCGGGGAGACCCATTCGCCCCAAGATTGCAGGCATTGTAGGGCTTTTACTAAGCCTTCGCGAATACATAGATTTTTGGCTTCACTCACTCTAGGTAACTGGTCTGTTTTGTTTTCTGTGTCTTTTGCTCTTATGTCACCTAAGTGCACTCATTCTCAATACCCCAAACAACTTTGAGTCATTATTCTTCCAAAGTGAACAGACAAGTAAAGTGTTAACAGATCTGCCCCAAAATGAAATTAATCTTAAAAGAAACAGCCACTCTCAGCTTTAGCCCCAGTTGTGAGTCCTCTAATGAAATAGTAATGATAAATGCAGCACTTAACTTGGATTTACAAAGGTTTCAATCATGGGAGCAAAATCAGCAATATTAAAACAACTAAAAAGCCTCTTTGTATTTAAGCTGATGTTTTAAAAAGTAATGGAAGACATTAAGCTTCACCCTATGTGTAATTATAGGTGCACACTTAAATATTTATGCAATCAGGAAATATCGATTGAAATTAAAACCATTTTCAAGAGTGTCCTGGCAGTGAAATTCTGTCTCTCATATACACACAGGCATAACCCCACCCTTCCAATTCAGCAAGACACATGGGGCTGATCCAGATGATCATTTTTCTGCTCTATAAATCATAAAATAATGAAGTTAGAAGGGTCCTATAAGGCCATCAAATCCAACCGCCTGCTCAGTGCAGGAATACAAATCAAAGGATATCTGTCAAGTAGTTACCCAAATTTTTCTTGAATTCCAGTGCATTGGAGGACTCAACACCTCTTGAAGTGATTGGTTCCATTGCTGTACTACTCTAACATTTACGTAGGAGGTTTTCCTGATATTCAACCAAAATCTGGCTTCCTATAACTTGAGCCAATTGTTTTGTGTCCTGAACTCAGGGATGACTGAGAACAGATCTTCCCCATTGTCTGTATGACAGCCTTTCAAGTATCTGAAAAGTACTACCCTATCTCCCCTTAGTCTCAAAGCTAAAGATGCCCAGTTCTTTCAGTCTTTCTTCATAGGGCTTGGCTTGCAGCCCCACCCCACCCCGATCATCCTTGATATCCTCTTTTGAATTTGTTCCAATTTGTTAGTATCCTTCTTGAAGTGTGGTGTCCAAAACTGGACACAGTACTCAAGATGAGGCGTAACCAGTGCCAAATACAGGGGAACTAGCACCTTGTGGGATTTGGAGACTATACTTCTCTTAATGCAGCCTAAAATAATATTTGCCTTTTTTTGTAGCAACATCACACTGTTGGCTCATATTCAGCTTGTGATCTAGGACGATTCCAAGATCCTTCTTGCTCATAGTATTGCTGAGCCAAGTATCCCCCATCTTGTAGCTGTATGTTTGGTTTCTTTTTCCTAGGTGCAGTACTTTGCACTTATCCCTGTTAACTTTCTCTCTGTTGTTTTCAGCCCAGTGCTCAAGCTTATCTAGATCATTTTTAATTTTGTTTCTGTCTTCCAGAGTATTAGCTATTCTAACCAATTGTATGTAATCTGCAAATTTGATTGGCACTCCCTGCATCCTCTGATCCAGGTCATTAATAAAAATGTTGAAGAACATTGGGCCCAGAATTGAGCCCTGGGGTACCCGACTTGTTACCTCCTCCCAGTTTGAGAAGGAGCCATTAATCATCACCCTCTGAGTATGATTCTGTAGCCCACTGTGTATCCACCTGACATTTGTTCTATCCAGTCCACACTTAGTTAGCTTGCTAATCAAAATATCATGGGGCACTTTGCCAAAAGCTTTGCAGAAGTCAAGACATTTTTAAAAAAATTATATTTAAAATATTTCTATCCCGCCTTTTTCCCCAAAAGGACGTATGTCTACAGCATTCCCATCATCTGTCAATGAGGCTGCTCGATCAAAAAATGAGATCAGATTAGTCTGGTGGGATTTGTTCTTGACAAATATGAGATAAAGTTATTCATTCTGCTGGATCCAGATCTCCTTCCTCAGTGTAGTACTTCTGTTATGAAATACTGTACTGCATTTTCCATGACTTGAGCAACAGTTTATCACTGGAACTGTGGGAGTAGTTCCCCAACACACACATTTTACTCCAACTTATCCAAGTGTCAAAGCCCTCATTTAAAAATTAGAAAACAAAAGCAAGAATCCCGTCTTTCTGTAGTAATGATCATCTGTTTTATATACTTCAGGGCATTTTAAGAAATAATTTAGTTTACTGCACACTACAACTGGGAAAAGTTTGCATTTTTGTACTTCAACTTCCAGAATCCCCTGGCTAGTATGCCTGTTGACCATACTGGGTGTGGGATTCTGGAATTAGTGGGTCAAACAAGTAACTTTCATGCTCTGAAACCCTTTGATATTACACACTTCTAACCTGTCAATACACATACTTCAAGTACCATTGCCCACTCTCCGCATGCCATTATTATATATTTCCAAAGATCTGACCCTATCTTCAGTGTTCAGGTTCCCCAGGTTCAAGGAGGCTCATACTAACCACATCGCCACCCTGGTTGTCCTGATGTGGCTGAAACCAGGAGGACCGAATGTGCCAATGGCTGGGGGAATCTTCCTACCTGGCAACCTCCTAACACCTTAGTCTAAACTGACTAAACAGTACTTCCAGAGAGTTCTCAGATATCCACAAGATTAAGCACTTTGACTCATATGCTAAGAGGTAGAAGTGCTACCACACCCATATAACATACAGGCACCTATTAGATGGTCAAGACAAGGCCTGGTTTTAAGTACCGCAAACCCTCTTAATCCAAAAAGTCAAAATAATTGTATGAAGAAATTTTATTAAAGAAAGTAAAAAGTAAAAGGGGGCAAAAAAAGGTTCAAAACAGTTGCATCTGTTGCAAAAAAAAGTTTAAAAGGGGGCTTGGAGGAAATGATCTCTTAAAAGCTTGATATGGGAGCAATACGAAGCAAGGAAGGAAGTAAGCTAGTTAAACTATTCGAATAGTCTAGCATAGTCTCAGAACATATACAAAGTTCATTCATTGCAAAAGGACAGCAAATGAGCATAACATTTCCTGCAAGATAACTAAGCCAACTAAGTAACATCTGACCCCATGTTATACCTAAAGCTTCAGTTTTTGGACTCTTCCAGAGCATCTTCCACTTAGGTGTCAAGTTGCCATAACAAGAGCAGTTCTTACCCCTCCCCTCACTCAATTGAAAACCCTCTTCCCAATTAGCTCAGTGCCAAAGAATGAACCGGCTTGGCCTTGGAGGCAACTCTCACACTAATATGCTGCAGGTGTTTCTTCCTTTCAAATGCTGGTGGGCATTACCCCACTTCTCTCATCCAGCTCATTCAAGGCACTGACTACAAGGCATTAATTTTCCAAAAGAGCACCAGAGCCCAATCCCTCAATTTCTTGACATTCGGTATGTTTTATCTCTTCTGCAGCCACCTGCCTTCCAGGGGTTTAAAAGCCAGAAATGTATGTTATTCTTTTGTTTAAATATACACTGGGAGGGAAAACCAAATGTCCTGCAATGGTTATTGATAGTTCAAAATATTCCTCAGCAACGCACTGCATGTAATAATCTGTTGTGGTTGCTCAGTGTCTCTTGAGTCCATGCATGCCCATTGATCATTCAGAAATTAAATTTCTAGAGAATCTGAGAAATGGCTAAAGCCCAGTGCTAACCAACTTTCCAGAACACCTAGCCTTCTCAACTAGCATTGGGTATATATTTTTATGCTGACCTTTTCAGAGGCATTTAGAAAACAGCAGTTTTTCCTAGTACTTGAGAAGTATTAATTATTTCTCGTGGTAACATTGTACTTTTTATATTGTACATTGTACAATGTACAAATTCCAATTTGTGCAGTGGAAAGATTCTAGTCTTGTTACCACACAAATTTTGCTTTTGTGGTGCATTATCTAGCTGCCTATCTGAGCATGTGGGTGACATGGATTTGGAATTCAAGGATCTGTGGAGGTAGTAAAAGCCATGAAACAGATCTTCTATCCCAACTGATAATCTCTTTTATGACCCCTTTCCCCCACAAATTTAAACAACCATTTATTTGCTAATGCATATTTCACTGTTTTTAAAAAGATGATGTATACAAAGTGTAACTCAAGATAACAAATGATAATTATGCATTTAATGAACTGGATCTGATTGTTAGTCTTGAGTAGTATAGATCCACTGAATGAACTGGAATTGCTTAAGTGAAGACTATGTAAGTTCCATTGATTCAATGGGTCTACTTTAGCTTTTATTAATAATTAGATTTCAGCCTTTAAAAGTATTTTTTTTGTATAGTGGCTATACACAGATTGGTATTCAAAGCTTAAAAATCAGACATAGTCTTAATGCAAGTTTAAATTCCTAAAAAACAAGATGTAAACAATTCCAAGTGTTTTGAGTTTGAGGATACGTGCTGTGGATGGTATTGACAATGAGCATCATCATCTGTGTCAAAGACTGGTAAAATAGAGATGAAGGTGTTGGGATAGAAAATATATAACCTGATTGGTGACTCATAGCTGATAGCATCATCCACTTGACACTATCCATTATTATGGAGAGTTACTTCCATTGAGTAGAATCAGAGATCATTCCAGCTGTTTTCCCTACTAATGGTTACTTACAGGCAATGAAATGAATGCACTTTGAACGGTGCTATATTTTTAAAAACAAAACAAGAAAATCATAAAATTCAATTGCAAAGTACAAATTACAGGTGACAGTACCTTCTGTCATTTTCCTCTTTCAGGTGCGTTTTGTCTGTTCTGCAGCAGCTCCACTCCAAGGATTATTTACTCAAGAACATCATGACAATTCATTGGACGAAAGCAGGGCACTGATAGATGATTTGGGGTTGAGCCAGGTAAGCGCTATGAGCATTACTGCTTTTGTTGGTAGAGAGTGTAATTGTTTTTAGTCCAAGTATAAGCACCATTGTAAACAAAGAAAGAAAATGTTTAATTGGCCATTCTGTAGCTTTCTGGCAGGATCAACATAGCACATCTTCCTCTGTTATAATTTAATGCAATGATATTCACAAATGAATAGTGCCACTCAATGTTAGCATAGTTCTGGAGATATTTTTCATCTTTACCAAGTGTATGTTTTTAGTATGCTAGTAATATTGGGAAAGGCTCATGCTTTAATACATGTTCTTCCAATTCAGTAGGGATGCACTTAGGTTTTTTATTCAAGACACCACAGGTAAAATCAGTTTACTGTCGCATAAAAGAGAGGTGTGCTGTAAGTGTCTCCTGTTTTAGGTTCACACACAATTGGAAGCTGGTGAACACAAGTTGCCAAGACATGTACACAGAGCAAAAGACACTTGCACACAATCATGATTATATTTACTCATACTCATACTTATATTAATTGGGTATGTAGGTCACAAATACTAATTTCTTCAAGAAGTGTGAAGTGGCATGTCCTTTGTTACTACTATCTGGGCACATAACTATCATTGTTTGACCATTGAGGTTTCCATAATAAGCACAATTTGTAAATAATATGGTAATGTGATGCAGAATGTGATGTAGTGAGGAAACTGAGAGAGGGTGCTTGGTGTGTGCCCAGTGGGGCATCTTTAATTTCTGGTTAGGAATGGACCAAATGTTACACCTTTTATTACACAAAGCAAGAAGATTTCAGCCAACGTGTGTATAGCTGCAGTGGCAGAACTCAAATGTTTCTCAAATGGCATCCATATTACCAGAATAGTATGAATACCAGAATATCACAAGGAATTAAAAGCTACATAAAGTTATATACATGGACAATACCAATTTTTTTTTGTAGAGACTGACTGTGGTTTTTTTGGAGGACACCAGGTCTGTCTGGAAGAGATGAAGTATGCAGCTCAGTTTATGCAGCATCACAAAAGACAGACCCAATCTGTAATTCTCAAAATGAGTATTTGTGAAAGCCCTGGATTAAATCTCATCTATTTGCTCAGGAGGAACCTGATCCAGATCAGGGCATTATGGTTTTATTTGCGAATAAAAAGGCAAGCACACTATGTCCTGTATACAGTGATATCATTGTGCTAGTACAAGGCTAGCTGTTGTACTAAAAGGTTGCATTAGCTGTTGCACAGGTACAAGTTCAGTACAAAGGTAGCACCCAAAACCGTTGCTGTTGCACAAGCAGTTACCTGAATGAGTTTCACATGTTGTTTATCACCCATTTATTTGTGCCATGGTCACATCCAGAGTGACTTTTCACTTTGGTAGCATTGTTTTAGATTTGGATCTATGTATTCAGCATACTGTGTAGCTTAGCCTGCCTACTTTTTTACTATTTATTGTTTCTTTTGTTCTTTGCTTTCATCTGTTTCTAGGATTCAGCTGGAGGACTTTCTATGTTTACGGGAGAGGAGGAGATTTTTGCCTTTCAGCGGACCATCTCACGGCTCACTGAAATGCAGACTGAGCAGTATTGGAACGATGGTGACAGGAGCAAGAAACCACTGTAGCTGTAAAGCTAGCAAAAGCTGCCACAAATAGCTCTTGTAAGGACTGAAGTCCAGAAGCATGACTGGACAACTGTGGCCTTCCACATGTTCTTGGGCTGTGACTCCCATGATCAGTCAACAGTGGCTGTGCTGCCTAAAACTGGTAGGAGCTGAAGGCCACAGTTGCCATTCTTGTTCTGAATCTGAAAGACACTCTAACCAACATTGCACTTTATTGCCCATATGATTTGCAATTTTTATTTCAGAAGAATAAAAGCTTACGTGCTGGCATAATGGTAGGGAAGAGTCTTATCTGTATGTTGAAATCCTTTTCTCCAACCATAAATGACATCTTTATTGATGAAGAATCAAAATCCCCCTTCAGCATTCAGATCAAATTGGAAGAGGCACAATGTGCATTGACACATGCAAGTTTTGACTGTTTGTGTCATGCTTATAACACTATAGCTTACATGAATGAAAAGCACAAACCAGGGACATTGCATACCTACATTTCATTGCAAATGACGTATGAAATTGTATTTTGAGACTTTGAATTTTGGTGAATTGTTTTCTTCTAGTCAGCAGTCACATGTGTCAGATCTGCCTTCCGCCAAACGTACAAAGGCATACTTTTACATTTGATAGCTTTGTAGTAGGATTTCTACCTCTTTATGTGTTTTATTACTGCTTTTCTCCTGACATAGTCTGGAGGATCTGGTCTTGCATAGTCTGTTGCACTAGCAATATTTATTTATTTATTTATTTAT